GCATTCTTGTGGAAATATGCGAGGAACTTAAAAATCGCGTACCTTACCCAAGTCATAACTTTTAAAAATGTATAATAATTAGAGTAGTTTGCAAATGGTATGACGTCAATATCCATTTGAACTGTAAATAGCTGTTTTGGTCGCTTTTCTTCTTCGCCTACAACTTCCGAATCGGGATTTGGTAGGACGGGCCAGTGATCCTCAGATAGATTAAGATATGAAGGGCCACTAATCCACCTAGAGTTCGATGAAACTCTAACTTTTTGTGGTCTTGTTGCGTCATCTGCAGGGTTTAACGAGCCTGGCACCCATCTCCACTGTGAGACCTCAGACGATTGGAGGATTTCAGATATTCTATTACAAACAAATTGCTTGTAACGTCGCGCTTCGGACCTAATCCATTGAATAACGGTCTTCGAATCTGACCAGAACACAATTTTATCTGGTTGTACAGTGTGGCTGCCTAAAATCACACTCTTAATTTTTGTTCCTAGAACCGCGGACTGAAGCTCCAGACGTGGAATAGATAGTGGCTTCAATGGACTGCAGCGGGACTTTCCAACAATGAAAACTATTTCTACCTCGTTTGCATGACATATACGCCAGTAGGCCACGGCTGCGTAAGCAAGTTCGCTTGCATCGACGAATATGTGAAGCTGAATCTGCGTTGAAGGGTCTGTGAAATTCAAATGATAGCATCTCGGTACGCTAAATTCAGACAGCGATTCTAGCGACTTGTACCACTGGAACCATACTTCGTGAATCTCCCGTGGAATTGCTTCATGCCAGTCAACGCTTAACTGCCATAATTTCTGCAGAAGTATTTTCGGAGCCAAAGTTATGTTGGATAGAAACCCGAAGGGATCGAAAATGGACATGATAATCCCTAACAACTCCGCTTTAGTTGGACGTCTACTGCCATCCAAAACTTGATTTGGAATTCTCGAAAACATTAACTTAAAAGAAAAAGCATCACGATTCGGATCCCAGTGCATGCCCAGAACTTTCTCGCAGTCTGATTCACCACTACACATATTTTTTGTAGGACTCTCAACTGGCATTGACGTGTCGTAAATGGCTTGCAATAGAGCATTTGAATTCGAAATAAATCCTCGAAGTTCAAAACCTGCTTCTTGATGGATCGCGATTACCTTCTTCGTTACGCTTATAGCCTCATGTACGCTAGAGAAACTGTCAACGTAGTCATCTACGTAGTGGCGATCGATAATAGCTTCTACTGCTCGCGGATACTCGTGCAAAAACTTACTCGCGTTAAAATTTTTTACATATTGTGCCGAACATGGCGAACAAATAGAGCCGAAAATCATTGCAGTCATAACATAAACATCGGGTAACTTCGTCGGGTCTCCTTCTCGCCAAAGGAACCGCTGAGAATTTTGATCGGCTTTACGTATGTTAACGCGATGGAACATTTCGCGGATGTCCCCACAGATAGCAACTTTCCCTTCTCGAAATTTAAATAGAATTGACTGCAATGATTTGGGATGATATGAGTCCGGCCCCTTCATCAGTGCAGAATTTAACGAGATCCCATTAATTTTGGCGGCAGCATCAAAAACTAGTCTAGGTTTGTTACCTTTATTTATATTGTACACAGCGAAGTGGGGCAAGTACCATGTTCGCTTATCTACCCATTCGGCTTCATCTGCAGTTAATTTCCGAGCATAGCCCTTACTTACATATTCATTTAACTTTTTCCTGTACCAATCTGCGTAATTTTCGTCTTTCAACATTTTCCTTTCCACAATTTGAAGACGCTTTAATGCCATGCTGTAACTCTCAGGCAGAATCGCATCGTCATCCTTCCATAAAAGTCCCGTCTCATATCTACCTTCAATAAATTTTGTTGTTTCTGTCAGTATTCGTTCAGCCCTTATACCACATGCAGACTTTACGGGAGGCAGCGTACTTCTTTCAAAGTTTTCTACCTCAAAAAAATCAGATACTGTCTTTTGCAGTTGACTTAGTGCGCTGTCGTCAATATGTACATGACAAATAGTTGTGTTGTGTGTTCGGTTTTCATTAGAGCCGAATATCGTCCACCCCAGTTTCGTTTCATGTGCCGTAAACCCTTCCTCAAAGTTAACAACACGCAATGGCCTAGCTAAATTTGTGTGAGACACCCCTATCAAGACATGTGGCATAGCGTTCGTATAGCTTACAATTGGAATATGGCTTAATTCGTCGTATTTTTGTTTAAAGTTTTCAGCGCACAAAGTTTGTGGGGGCAAAAACAGCTTTTTAATCGTGCGAACGTCTTTCATATGAAATCGCACTGAATCGTAAACACTCGATACTTCAACATCCACCCGTTTTGAAACTTCAGTAGTTGTCTGATCGTCAAACCACTTCAAGCGCAAGAAGTCAGCGATTCCTTTCAAACCAATTTCATCAGCTATACGCTCCTCCAAAAGAGTGACTTTGGCTCCATCGTCAATAAATGCCATTACACGTACGCTACCCTTGGGTCCATACAGTTTTACAGGCAAAAATTTAAGTAAAGTTTTATCAACAATGCTTTTGCATACATCTGCGTTTCTTTTGTTTATTTTGCTCTTCTGTTTCTCATAATCATTTCTTTCACATACATTTACAGTCGCAACAGCTGATTCTGTTGGAGGTGAGATGCCAGCTTGAACTGTTTCTGAATTAATTTTATGAAGCAATTTATTATGATACTTGCGGCAAGATGCCACACCACATTCACGACGATGAGGGCAATTGTACATGCTGTGATTTGCGGAAAGGCAACAAAAACACAAGCGATTGTTTTTGACGACCTCCCAGCGCTCATCATATCCTGCCTCTTTAAAATTAGAACATTGGTACAATTTGTGATCGGATTTACAAAGCTGGCATTCATACTTTTCTTTACCTATGGTTAACACTTGTTTCGCAAATCTATTACTTTTTTGCACCAGCTGATCTGTGTTTACATTTGATTTTGACGTATTAATTTCAGTAGCCATGGCGATGTACACAGACGTTTGTTGCAACCAGATACTAAATTCCTGGATAGTTGGATACATTTTATTAATTGAAAATATATGGCGAGCCCAATCTTCGCGTTTGTTAAGTGGTAATTTACCTACAAGCTCCTCTAATAGCGTTGGATTTGAGAGGTGAGGCAAAGCACCGGCGTTTTCCAGAAAAGCAACAAGGTTGGATACCATTGTGGCGAGATTCACGATATCGCTGTAATTTTTGCCAGTGATAGAAGGAAAGGCTCGTGCCTTAGCAAGCTGACTCCGGACTAATATCTCAGGGCGACCGAAGTGAAATTGAAGCGTGGAAATAATTGCATTTACACTTGAAGGGTGAATTAATAAAGACTCAACCGTATTACGTGCGTTTCCTTTTAAACACTTTTGCAGACGTTGCAGGTTCTCGAAATTGGTGTAATTATACATCGTGGTGGTTTCTCTAAACGCAACCGAGAACATTGGCCATTCTTCGGGTGCTCCAGAAAACTCTGGCAGATCTCGTAGCTTTCGCAAATGTTGTTGAATATGCGACGGTGGGCAAATCGTTTGATTATTCGTAGGCAAGGGGTACGAACCGTATAAAGGGGCATTTCTTTCGAAGGCTAATTCGGCAGAGTCGGTATTAGGGAAGTAAAGTGATGAAAAATTACCTGTTGTGCGGCAAGTATCGGTAAGTGTGTCCGGAGGACGATGAGCGGCGGATGATGAATCGTTGGCATGAGTTGAAACCTGGCTAGTGGCGGTTGCAATACGGTCCATTGTAGAGGCGTGGGTCTTGTTTTCGGCGACTGTGATGTTGTTGGCATAATTCATGTAAGTGCTGGTGGGACGTGTTTTATCTAAGTTGGCAAAAGTGACTGCGGCAGAATGCAATGTACGGGGGGGCAATTCGTCGGCAAGTTTGACGTAGGCGTTGATCGGATAAGCGCTGGCGTGTGCTGTACGTTCGTCGGCAAGGTTGACGGAAGCGTGATTTTCATAAGCAAGATAACCTATGGGCGGATTGTAGGTGTAATTTCGCGACACGAAGGGTTCGGTGGCGTGAAAATGGCCCGTGTCGGCAAGAGTGACGATGGCCTTTGTTGATGCTAGGGTTTGTTTCAAAGTTAACCTCTCATTTTCTGAAGCGGCAAGAGAACGTTGCAAAGTTTTTATTTGTTCCTGTAACTTTGCAATAGCATCTTCCTGCTCAACTACAGTGCAATCTAATTCGTTTTCTGAATCGTGTTCCGCACCTGAATTCGGCATTACTTTGCGATTAGTTTCAGTGTTCGTTGAGTAAACTTTTCTATTTCGCAAATTATAGCGTCGCATTCGAAGAACCAAGTTAATGATTCTCACGTTGCTTTGAGAATAAATATTAAAATAATGTAACTGCGGCAGCGAATAGCACAAATATATTAAGAACAACCGAGTATTTTTTATTTTGTAAGGTTTAGCGTTTTAATATCTAAAAAATTGTTTTGGATTAGTACAATAAAAATTAGAGAATTATATCCCTTACTTATTCGTGCTTCTCCTCAGTCTTTTGGTTAGCGAAAAAGGCCGGAAGAAGCCATTTTCGTTCGAGTTCAAACATTCTCGGTAGAGTATAAAACAATGTTAAGTTACAATAGACAAAAGAAGGTTGCCAAATATTCATATTCAAATTCAAGTCTTAAACTAGTATAAATTATAGCGTGGTTCCCTCCACAACAATAAGATATACATATATAAGATTATATTTAAGATATAAGATATATTATGCGAATATTATACAAATATCCCTTTTTTACTTTTACTTTTACCTGATTACATTCGCCCGGCGTACCCAGAGATAAACAATAGTTTTACTCAATCGTTCTGAAATTAAAAACGAGCGAAACAGTTAAACATGCACTGTGCTATGTAGGTACTAGGGATGTTAGTTTTTCGGCTTTCTTATGATCCCGCGATTTTCGGCATGTCGTTATCACAATCCCGGGATTTAGATATTCATTACTTTTCAACAACTTAAATCTAAAAAAATGTGTCTAATTTGTTTGAGAAGCTCTTTTACTTTGTTTTTGTAATTTATGGCCTATTTGTTGACCTCAAAGCCGCTTTTGACAGCACTAAAGGGAGTTGCCTGTACGACGCTATGTCTGCATTTGGCATCCCCTCAAAACTCTTACGACTGTGTAAAATGACGTTGAGCAATACAACCAGCTCCGAGCCGTTCGCCACCAAACGGGGTTTCAGACAGGGCGACTCCCTTTCATGTGACTTCTTTAATCTGATGTTGGAGAAGATAATAAGAGCTGCAGAACTGAACCGCTCAGGAATAATTTACTACGAGAGCGTGCAATTGCTGGCTTATGCCGATGACATCGACATCATCTGTAGAAAGTAGAGAATTTCGTTTACTTGGGAACCAGCATTAGCACCGATAATAATGTCAGCGCAGAATCACTCTTGCCAACAAGTGCTACTTTGGACTGAATAGGAAATTCAGGAGTAAAGTCTATAAGTCACTCATCATGTCCGTGCTGGTATATGGCGCAGAAACATGGACAATGACAACATCCAATGAGGCGGCTCGTGGAGTGTTCGACAGAAAGATTTTGGTTACAGCGCCAAAAAAAGAAGAAGAAGAAATAAAATGATCGATTGATAAGACATGGCGAAAATATGTTTTTTTTTTGTTTTTTTGTTTTGCACGGTGCACTTTTGGATAAGTGGTAAGAGGTCCACCAGCCACCGTGGAGCGGCCTTCCGTGCCTGCCGTCCGTATCAACGTATCAAAATGCTGTTAACAGCAAGAGAAATTTTCATAGGATAGGTCGTGTCAGCTGACACGGTCTACGATTTTACGTCAGTGGCTGGTTGAGCTCTTAATCGAATCTATTAGAAAATCAAATTTTCCTTATTTTTTTAAATATCAAAATAAGCCGATTAGTAGTAGGATTCCACTTTAAATTTCTGTCGCTAAAAGTTTCGAAATGAATAAGGATTGTTCCTAAAACATACAACGCGTCCATCGAAACATAACATATCCATAATGCTAACGATTATATATTGGACCCCCTCGGCTTTCTCGTTGCATATTTTAAAGCTCATATGTTCGAATGCGAAAAATAGTCTAACAAAATAGCAAAAAATGCAAAAGCATAGTACAAAATATTCTTATATCATATTTCATTTCACATTTATTTGAGAAATCTGATTTGCCCCTCTTACTTCTTGAGATAAAGCTCTAAATAGCATCGGTTTTAAGCAATATTGCTTTTAATAAAATACAAAAATATCGTTTTAAAAAATCAATTTTTCAACGGAAAAGAGAGTAAAAGCCCAGTTAGTCTAGACTTAATTTCCGTAACTTAACTTAACTTAATATTTTGACCAACCTGAGTTGGCGGTTAGTTAAAACTTAACTTACCGCAAGAAACTTTAGAACCTATGGAATTTAGGTTCTTAAGTTACGGCCTTACGGAAATTGAGGGCGGTGAGAGTATCAGGCTTGCGAGACTATCGGTTTTATACTTCCTGAAAATAAATAGAGGCAAACATTTTTGTTTGTATGAATTTTTTCGATGTGGCATTTTAATGGGGCTGAAAAAGAAAATACAAAAACAAAATGTTTTCGATTCTGGCATAAGTTGACGTAATGAGTAAGCATTGGCAATTTCTTGCGGTAAGTTCAGTTAAATTAAGTCTAGACTAACTGAGCTTTAACGTCTGAAACGTAACGTCCCGAACGTACATATACAATTGTTTCAAAGTTAGTCTAACCTTTAGTTTGCTTTTATAGCACATTTTGTAAACTTCATTATTTTCTATTCAAAGTAATTTTGTAAATTGTGCTCTCCATGCATGACAATTTGCGCAAATCGGTTGATTTTGATGGTCATATCAAAATCGCTTCCTTTTTCAGTAACGTCCGAACATAATGTTCGAAGGCAAATATACCGACATTAACGCAAATTCAGATCTTCATTATTTTGTACTCATAAGTAATGCAAAGAAATTGAACAAGCGAACACGCTAATGCAAATTTTATGTGTGTTCGCCAAACCATTCGCTTCGTTAAATGTATTCGCTTCACCAGTCTCAATACCAGCCAAAATATTAACTATTTAAAATTTTGTATTTAATAATCGCCAAGGTGCCGTAAGTTTTGATGGTGTCTTCATAGTATTATCCCAGCATGCTGTCGGATTGATAAAGGTTCTCAACTTGCTAGTGTTACGATCCACTTCACCGCTGATACCTCCCGGAAGGCGTATTGAATATCTACGATATACCATTATCACGTACCAGCGAATAGCAATGTAATAAAATATACGAGTACCACATATGTTTGTATAAATAATAACATAATTTATTAACACAGCTACGTGCAGCAAATTCAAACAATTTTTAAGCAAATTAGTCTATCCCAATTCGTATTTAGCTTGATCATATATGGCTTCGTTCTATTCGAATTGAGTTTTGGTTTAGTGAGTAAAAATATATAGAATCTTGAAAACATATTAAACATAAACAACTGGACATTTTTTTTTTCTTTCATAAAATCATCCAGGAATCAAGCATAACAATCTTCATCCGAATGATAATGTACATTGCGGCCGGTGGAACCCAAATTGTTATATATTGTTACAATGGCCAGCAGCTAACTACAGTGGTGAGAAAATAATGAATTATTTAATTTATGAAAACGAATGAATAAAATTACGAATATGGTTTACTCGATTAAACAGAGCGAGCAAATTCCGTTTTCATTTTACACGTCTAAATGGTACGAAGAATCGGAAAAGTTTAAACAACTTATTCGTATGATGATTTTGCGAACTCATCGTAACTTCCACTTGGAGGTTTCATGGTTTACTTTGATGAATTTGGCCACTTTAATTGCTGTAAGTTGAATATTTTTACTTTTAACGCACATGCATACACATATAAATAAGAGCTAATTTGATAAACACAATAATTTATTTATTGCAGCTATTCAGGATGAGCGGTTCGTACTTTTTGTTATTGCGCAACCTTCAAGAAAACTAAACGCGGCTGTTAAATCTTAATTTAAAATCAAAATGCAAGTTTTTAAGAATACATAAATAAAAAAACTTGCGTAATGAAATGGTATTTTTCGACAGCATAGTAAAATGTTTGTTGTTGTTGAGTTCACAACTCTCGCAGAGAGAAAAACACAACAACAACCACATGTAAGAAAAGTTCTGAACTATAACGATGAAACTACCTTAAATACATAGAGTTGTGAATACTTAATAATTTAATGCCGGTTAATAAATGCCGGCTTATTGCATGGTAATCACTTAATCACGAATATTGTGAGGTTAGGTTAGGTAAGCTGGCTAGCCACTATGTGGCTTCGCAGAGAAAAGTAAGGCCCATAGCGTTACCAGATAAGCGACGACCCTATTGTACAGTTAATCGCCGAACGCCAGGAGCAATATTGAATATGTCCTCTTGGCGAATTGGAAAACCTTATTTTACCTGCTCCCAGAGGACTGAACCGCAGGAGGGCAGGACATTTGCCAGGGGTTGCCAAAATTTTCTAAGAAATGTATAGTACTTTTTCAAAAAAAAAAACTTTAAAAATATAGTACACTTCAAATAATATATAGCATTTTATTTAAAGCAAGAGAGAAAGTATACATCTTTTTTCTTTTTTATGTATTGTTTCTATAAAAAATATATTCCTTTGAAAGTATCGTAATCAATATTTAAATTAAAATAAATCAAAGCTCCTTTTGTAGCATTGAGGTATGTAGTCGCTTTGTTTCTCTCATCTCGCCATTTCACATTCGTAATGGAAAAAAACTGTTTCTCTGAATTCCGAAATTGAAGGAATAGAGAGCAGAAATGAAATAATTTTAGGCAAATTTGTTAATTCATTCTAAGTATTTTTAAAAATGTTGCCATTTTTATCTGTGATTCTATTAAAAAACTCACTATGACCTTTTATTTAAATAATATTTCTTTAATATTGCTATTTCAGTATAAAGCTCATCCATTTCAATACACATTTATACATAGTATATGCCCCACCTTCTCCTCTTTCGTTCTGCTTCTCCTGCAGATTTTATCATTAGTCAGAGCCTGTTTAAAGACGTGGGATGCCAACAGGCAATGTCCCGCTAGGACACCCATCAGTAGCCTAGCATCCTCCCTCTTGAGGGATAAGAGAAACTTTGTGGGCTTTATGTCACACGCTCCGCACATAATCCTAAACACCTTGAAGGCTTACGTTTTGGTCGACGCCTTCTGCTCCTTTCGGATCATCCAGCTTCTCTTCAATCGCTTGGAGGACAATAGGCACCTCCTCTAACAGCATAGTTTCCGACCGGGTGTCTTCTTTGGCAAGCCTGTCGGCCTCCTCGTTGCCCGGAACGTCAGTGTGCCCGAAACCCAGTACGTAAGCAGCGTCCGAACTTTGCTCCGATCGGAGTAGATTTACTCCGATTTCTTTCCTACTCTGCTGGACCTAAAAAGTGCTCAGATTTTTTTACTTTTCCCATTCACATTAAGAATATATTACAAAACAATTTGGTCACTTCTTAAATTTTTTTCTTAATAACTTCTGTGGCAACCTGTCTATGTCGTTGTAAAGCTCATCATTTCCTTGTCTGAATTACTCGTCGTCGCCAACGCGTAAAGGCCCGTCAATTCGTTATTGTCCATACTTCTGCGCCATATACCAACACGGATATGATGCGTGACGTATAGAGTGTGATTTTCGTACGCCGAGAGAGGACTTTCCTCCTTAATTTCATACTCAGTCCAAAGTAGCACTTTTGACAAGAGTGATTCTGCGTTCAATCTCGATGCCGATATTATTATCGGTGTTATGGCTGGTTCCCAAGTAAACGAAATTCGACACTTTTTCGAAATTATAACTATCAACAGTGACGTGGTTGACAAGGCGCGAATGCGCCGACTATTTGCTTGATGGCAGGAGATACTTCGTCTTGTCCTCGTTTATCACCATACCCAGTCGTTTCTTGCTTATCTAACCGATGATGCCTATGTAATCGGTGACCCCAGCAATTGCACGCGTTTGTAAAAAATTGTTCCTGAGAGGTTCAGTTCTGCAGCTCTTATTACCTTCTGCATCGTCAGATTAAATAAATCACATGAAAAGGAATTCGACCTGTATAAAACCCCGTTTGGTAGAAAACGGCTGTTTCCAATTCTGACGGAGCTGGGGGTATTGCTCAACATCATTTTACACCGCCGAGTCAGTTTCAAGGGGATGCCAAATTAAGACAACGCGTCGTATAGGCAACTCCTTTTAGTGCTATCGAAAGCGGATTTGAAATCGACAAATGGGTGGTGAGTGTCAATCCGTTTCTCGCAGGTATTTGCCAAGTATTGCGAATACTTGGTTTATGGAGGATTTACGAGGTGTAACGCCTCATGGACAAGGCCCAATCAGCTTGTTGGCGCTTGCCTTCAGTCTTTTACACAATATGCTCCATAAGACCTTGTAACCTATGCTAAGAAGGCTGATCCCGCGATAGTTGGCGCGAATGGCGGGGTCGTCTTTCTACACAATAATAGATGCATGCAGGTTATCAGCTCCTCTCCGCCGCACTTGAAAAGCTCAGCTGGCAGGCTGTCAGTTCCGGGATATTCCTAACGTTCTTATACAATAGGAGAATGATGGATATCTACACATAGTATAAATAAATAAATTGCAAATACTCTACTTATGGCTAAAACTGGGAGCTTTTGGAAAAGGAGGCGTAGCACCTCTCATACAAACTGAACATTTCCTACGCTCATATCTGGAACCGCTTGTGCTAACGTCCTGATTGGGGGCGTGGCACCTCACATACAAACTTAACTTCTTATATCGCCTATCTCTGGAACCGCCTTATGCTAACGTCCTAAATATAGATAGGCAAGCATCATTCGACTTGGAACCGTTTTCTCCTAGATTTCTAAATCGCATCGAGCAATTGTTACTTTGCTTTTAATTTGTGGGAAAGGGTAAAATTTGTTTGTGAAAATTTTGAAAAATTTTTAAAATATGAAATTTTAATTTTTATAACTTTCGTTAAAGATTGTCCCATCTATATACATAAAATGAAAGCAGCCTTTGTTCTTCGGACTAAACTTAAAAAGCACTGAATAGGGTTCATCCAAATTGTCGGAGTTTATACCTTTCACATATGGTCCTATTACCTATAGACTAACCACTTGAAAACTCGCTTGGTGGCTCTGGAGTCGAGTCATTTATAAGTAGATTTATTTATTAACCGATTTCGTTCAAATTCGAGATGTTAGCCACCCGTATGATGAATTCGTTTGCTAAAAATGGACCCGCTGTTTGGTGGAGATATTTATAAAATGCTTATTTTTTAAACAACCTGGCTGAAATTCATAATGCTTCATAAACTTTCTTGATAAGCAATGGTTTTGCAGAAGGATGGCGCTGCAGCCGTATTATATAGAAACCCCATGTGTTTGGTCTGCTTTGGCTAATGTGACTAACCGTACTTCTTTCGGAAGTACAGTACTTCTTTTTTCGCTCTTGGAGTTCGTACTTCGAAGTACAGTCCAATGTACTTCTTTGTAATATTTTGTACATCAGGAGGGAGATTTTGTAAACAGTAAGCGACAATTTTCGGATCGCTATCGCACTTCTTGACGCATGATATAAATGTTTTTGTGTCAAAAAGTGCGATCGCGATTCGAAAATTGTCGCTAAATGGTTTCAGAATATCCCCCAGGTCCTGCGCTTCTCTGATCTTCTGGACGATCGTCACGTGGCTTGGGCGATAATGGTTCAAACCATTAAAGTCGCTGGGGACCGATGGCATCATACCCGCGCAGCTGCAAAGGCCTCTGAAGGTGTCGTGCAATTGGTTGGATCCTATTTATGCGAACTGTGTGAGCACCGGGTACATCCTCAGGTCTTGGAGGGTATTCAGTATTACGTCCATCCCGAAGGCCGGAAAAGGCGCACGTGTTTGCCCTAGGTATTTTAGGCCAATCAGTCTCTCTTCGGTTTTGCTAAAAACGGCGATCAACGGCGGCTGTCGTGGAAGCCTAACATTGAGGAAAGGGTATGAAAGGTTTCGGTTGCCTTGTACTGCTGTAGGGGACTATCGGCAAAAGGTGAAGTCTCTCGTCCAAATTAATTCATTAGGTCTAGGAAACCAGATTTAAGCCAATATTTTTTCATTGAGCCCTTATCTGGTGAACTCAATCGAGAAGGCTGCACTTGTAAAATAGAAATTAGTGGAGCATTAGGAACAATACTTACACTGGCGCTTAACATATATATTTTGAACACGCCGCCTGGGGATATTGCAGGCGGAATTTTCGCAGTACCAACTGCTATTGGGCTAAAGGAAACCGGGTCATTTTGTGACATAAAAAACAAAAAGAATACGTTTCTCTGCGGCAGCAAATATTTTTATAGGGCACTTTAAAACACATGATCTCTCAAGGGCTAGTGATGGGAGTTCTGACAGGCCATTGTGCGATTGGTATTCATGCGGTGAGAATATTAATTTCAACTGATCCTTTTTTATCAGCTGCCAAGAGGAAGATGAGGTGGAATCATCTCCATACTTACTAACAACATCTTGGAAATACAACCCCAAACTATTATTGACGGACCAATGTGATTCACAGTTTACCTTACATGATTCGCATGGGATTAATATGGGTCCTTGATCCAATACCATGCCAAGATATCTGACTGAAAGCGATTAATTTAGTCTTGTCAGGCAAACAACTTATAATTGAAACTTAAAAATGCGTTTATTGCATTCTGAAAGGCCCACCATATCCCAAGCGGCAACGGTCTGGTTTTCGTGCGATCCAATAAAATGCTACCCCACTCGCACTTGTATTTTGATCAAAATTGTTTTTTCTTCTTTTATGCTGCCTTTGCTCTCAATTTGGCTATTCTTCGCCTCGTTGTCTGCTGATTTGCATTAAACTTGAATACCTTCAGCGCTTCTGTTGCTAAGTTGACACGATTTCGGACCGTAATATTTTCTGACACACTTCCTTTGTCCTTAGTAACACTTTAGGCTATTTTGTTCTCAGTCTTAATATTTGCATGTGGCAAACTCCACAATTTTTTACCACTTTTCCTGCGTTCCCGCCTTTCTGCAGTAAATCTATTATTTACATTTATGTTTCCTTATTAACCATATTATTTACTGGTGATCGCTTCTTGAATAAATTACAATACAGAAAAAAGTCATCTGACTTCCAACTAAGTAAAATATAACTGTAAAATGCAAAACTGAGAGTGAGTGCAAAACTGTAATACTTTTGTCTGGAATTTTTTATTGTTGTTGGATTGACTTCAAATCGTTATGAAAGATGGAGTAGGGGTGTACCAATAAGAATATACAACAAAAGTATGAAAGTCATTAGAACTTGGAAAGATAGCGGTGCCTGAAATAAAAAGTGTTACACCATGTTACAGTTTTGCTCGTCACTGTATATATGAAAATTAAAGAAAGATACCAGTTTGTTTCTAGGATTCCTCTAGAACTAGTTGGTTTTTCTCTGGACGGTGATTTGACATGAATTCCTCATTTGAGACACGCCAGTTTGAGATAAAAATTCACTATACATATATTATTATTATTATTGGCATATATTTTAAAAACCTGTTTCCGAAAAAAAGTCGAATGTCAATGATAACGACGGTACATTTCTAACTTACAAGAAAACAATAGCTGGATTTCGATTCATGTTTTTGTTTTTTTTTATTTACATATTTCATTTATTTATTTTATTAATTCCGTTTTATTTTATCTTGCTATACTCCCTTAACTTTTTTCAATCAATATATATTTTCAATTTATTATAAACTTATTTAACATTTGCGTTTCTTACTTACTGCTATATTTTGCATCTGGCTTACAAGGACAATTATATACAAACATACAATAGAAAGTTTGATGCTCTTTACCAAGAATTTAATGCAATTACAGATGAACGATTTTTACTTTATCTATTCGGCTTGAATGAAACATAATAAGCGATAATTAACAATTTCCTAAAAATACTACATGTACAAATATCTTATTTGCTACATAGTATTCAATGTTTGTGCACCCTGTGCATTTATGTATGTGTGTGTGTTTTGCATGTAAAATGGTAAATTTCAGTGATTTGAACAAAGTCTTTTCCATTTACAGTTTGTGAATACATACATATGTACCTATATACATATATATGTATATCATAACAAAATATCGATACAGTGGCGGATACAGGGATATGCCCTCCGCTTTTTCAGATTGGCTCTCATTTACGAATAATTGCGAATTTTCAGTTTATAAAATTTTGATGCTTTCTCAATTTTAATTAAATATATAACTTAAAAAAAAGGATCAGCCCAGCGCCTTCGTCTTGACCTGCGAGCTGTGTAGAATATGTCATACGTCATCTCGTCATAAAGAAAAATATTTTAAAAATAGTTCTTAAAAAACTCCATAGCTAAGTTATCTTTAGGACAATTTTGACAATCTGATATATAGAAATATTAAGCCCGTTCTTTAGCTTTAAAACGACATTAAGAAGAAGTCTCTACGATTGGCATAACGTAGTAAAACGATTTGAAGGAGTACAGGATTAGTCAGAATCACGAAAAAATGCAAACTTTGACAGATCATATCTCCAAAGAAAAAAGCGTGTATTTCATGTATTGCACCCATACAAAAGATTTGAAGCCAATCCAAAGTGTGACATCAAATTTGGTGTCCGATATGAAAAAGAATGTCTCATATATGGGTACATAGGTACAAAATATGCT